GACTCTTAGTCCCATTTTCGAGATTTAAAAACTGAGGCTCAAGGTAGCTGTGACTTACATCAGGCCATAGAGTACTGGAAAGAGAACCTGCCCCTGATTCCCAAGCCACTGCTCTTTCTACTGCTCTGTGCTTCCTCGGGAAGGTTTTGCGTATTTTCCAAGGAGAAAGTCAGTTGGCAAAGATGGATCCACACCATCTGGTCTAGTCTCCCCTGGGATTGGCTGCACATGGGAAAAGGCTGGCTGTGCTCGGCAGCATCTGGGCAGCTCAGAACCACGAAAAATGACCAAGCTGTGGCCAGCTGAGAACTTCTATGTTTAACACTTGCCACTCTTACTAAATGGCAGTCTTCACGAGAAGAAAGACCATGTCTGTTCACTGCTGCGTCCTTGAGTCCAGCATACTGCAGGTGCTCACAAAATGTTTACTGAATACACTGAGTTAATTGCAGTCCTCACAATTATTAAATCCTCATCCTCTCTGGCTGGCACCTTGTTAAAAGACTCACCTTTTGGCTGGGTGTGGTGGCTCACGCCTGTAATCTCAGTACTTTGGAAGGCCGAGGTGAGCAGATCACCTGAGGTCAGGAGTCTGACACCAGCCTAGCCAACATGACGAAACCCCATCTCTACTAAAAACACAAAAATTACTGTGTGTGGTGGTGGCTGCCTGTAATCCCAGCACTTAGGAGGGTGAGGCAGGAGAACTGCTTGAACCTGGGAGGCAGAGGCTGCAGTGAGCCAAGATTGCGCCAACCTGGGCAACAGATCGAGACTCTGTCTCAAAAGAAAAAAAAAAAAATCACCCTTTCTCCAGGGAGGAGTCCCTGTTCCGGGCACCCCCCTCTCCGCCACATGTATAATTACCCATACACCGGCACACCTATAATTACCCACATACCTGGCAGATGCCCTTTATTCTTCTCTGCTCCAAACTGTAAGGACTGCCAAGTCCTGTTACATTAGCTCGACTCCACGCTCTCTTCTCCAGCCCTATGGCACTGTCTTGTTCAGATCCTTCATTATCTGAAGCCTGAGTTGTCTGCCCATCTCCTCAGTGGCTTTCTGCCTCCACTCTCTGCCTTTCCAGACGAATGGTTTCCAGACCATTCTCTGTATTGCGCAAATCCTGGCAAATCATTCCTCTGAACTCTCCGTTGGTATCCCTCGCACTGTAGATGCAGGCCCACCGTGAGCCAGCCCCAGACTACCTTTCCAGCTCCATCTCCCTTCTCTCCCACTCCCACCTGAGCTACCTGTAGTTCTCTGCCGGTGCTGTGCCTTCTCTCATCACTTCCGTTCACACATGCTCTGCTCCCTGCCTGGGAAGCCCCACTGGCTGCACTCCAGCAGGCCTTTCAGACGGAGTTCGAGCATTCGCTTCTCTGGGCAGCTTTTCTTTTTTTTTTTTGAGACGGAGTTTCGCCCTTGTTACCCAGGCTGGAGTGCAATGGCGCGATCTCGGCTCACCGCAACCTCCGCCTCCTGGGCTCAGGCAATTCTCCTGCCTCAGCCTCCTGAGTAGCTGGGATTACAGGCACGTGCCACCATGCCCAGCTAATTTTTTGCACTTTTAGTAGAGACGGGGTTTCACCATGTTGACCAGGATGGTCTCTATCTCTCGACCTCGTGATCCACCCGCCTCGGCCTCCCAAAGTGCTGGGATTACAGGCTTGAGCCACCGCGCCCGGCTCTCTGGGCAGCTTTTCTTAAGGCTTTCCAAGACAGAGGACTCTTGTCTTTGTGTCAATCCTGTGATTATAGCTCTTGTACTACTGTATTGTATTAAGTGTTGTTTTTCCATTCCTGGGCCTCCTCCCACTGCCAGCCAAGAGCACTCTGAGGGCAGGAACTATCTGGCCATCCTGACAGGACCTTCACTCAGCACAGGGGCTACCCCAAAGCACTGGCATTAGGATCCAGTGAATCCTTGCAGCTCTCCATTTGCTCGAACCGCTGAGCTCTTTCACTACTAGGTGGGTGCAGGAGATGGTGGGGCCATTCTTGGCAGCCTCCCTGAGCTCAGAAAGCAAAGAGCTTGTAGTGACTCCTGTTACTGTTTTTCCCCGTCTAGTATCTTTTTCTTTCTACAAGTGCACCTTCCTTATCTCTGGGGCTCACAACCACAAGGCCCCGCCCCACCCCAGGGGACTGCTTCAGAGATGGGCAAGGCCCATTCAGGGCCCTTCTGGGGGATGGATATAGCTGTGGGGGAAATGACTGTGGAAGATGTGCTCATTTGCTTGTTTTTAGGGTGATATGAACTTCGGGCTGCTAATGGCCATCTATGAGAGTGGATCTGAATTCCAACTCCATCATTTTTCGCTGGGTGACCTTGGACAAATTGCTTGGCCGTTTACAGTTTTCCTCTGCATTTCCTGTTGTATAACCTGCAAAATGGGAATGATGGAGTATCTACCTCACGTTGTGGGAACAATTGAGTTAACATACACAAAGTGCTTAGAGCAGTGCCTGGCACAAAGAGTGGCCAGTAAATACTTGTTGCTTTGATTATATCAATATGTGGGGAGATCTCACCTGAGGACAAGTGAGAGACACTTTTTGGATCCAACTGAACCCGAAGCTTTCAATCCGTTACACTTAACAGTTCCACAAATCAGGCCGGGCGCGGTGGCTCAAGCCTGTAATCCCAGCACTTTGGGAGGCTGAGGCGGGTGGATCACGAGGTCAAGAGATCGAGACCATCCTGGTCAACATGGTGAAACTCCGTCTCTACTAAAAATACAAAAAATTAGCTGGGCATGGTGGCGCGTGCCTGTAATCCCAGCTACTCAGGAGGCTGAGTGAGGTAGGAGAATTGCCTGAACCCAGGAGGCGGAGGTTGCGGTGAGCCAAGATCGCGCCGTTGCACTCCAGTCTGGGTAACAAGAGCGAAACTCCATCTCAAAAAAAAAAAAAAAAAAAAAAAAAAAAAAAAAACAGTTCCACCAATCAATTAACTTCGTCTCTTTTTTTTGAGATGGAGTCTCACTCTGTTGCCCAGTTTGGAGTACAGTGGTATGATCACTGCAACCTCCTCCTGGGTTCAAGTGATACTCCTGCCTCAGCCTCCCGAGTAGCTGGGACTACAGGTGTGTGCCACCATGCCTGGCGAATTTTTGTATTTTTAGCACAGACAGGGTTTCACCATGTTGGCCAGCCTGGTCTCAAAGTCCTGACCTCAGGTGATCTGCCTGCCTTGGCCTCCCAAAGTGCTGGGATTACAGGTATGAGCCACCGTGCCCAACCTTAACTACTTCTTTTTTTTTTTTTTTTTGAGATGGAGTCTCGCTCTGTTGCCCAGGCTGGAGGGTAGTGGCATGATCTCAGCTCACTGCAACTTCCGCCTCCTGACTTCAAGGAATTCTCCTGCCTCAGTCTCCTGAGTAGCTGGGACTACAGGTGCATGCCACCACACCTGGCTAATTTTTGTATTTTTAGTAGAGATGGTTTTACCATGTTGGCCAGGCTAGTCTCAACTCCTGACCTCAGGTGATCCACCCGCCTCGGCCTCTCAAAGTGCTGGGATTATAGGTGTGAGACACCATGCCCAGCCAACTTCTTTTTTTTAAAGCAAGTTTGAGCTGGGACTATGTAAGCTGCAACCCGGAAGATCCTAACACTGGTACGTGTAGTGGAAACCCAGGAGAAAGAATCTTGTGGGCACTCTCACCTTGCTGTTCGACTTTGGCCAGGGCTTTACTTTTCACGCTTCAGTTTATGTCTGATGGGTGGTAATACCTGCCCTGCTTTCCTCTTGTAGCTGCTGTGAGGATCTTTGGGTATAACAGATGTGCCTCAAAAATGGTTAAATGCTAAAAAACAAAACTCAACTATGACTCCTTACACCTCCACATGAAATGACTTTTGGCTCATCTCTATGTATAAACAAAATTCAGGCTGGGCAGTGGCTCATGCCTGTAATACCAGCACTTTGGGAGGCTAAGGTGGGTGGGTCACCTGAGGTCAGGAGTTCGAGACCAGCCTGGCCAACAAGATGAAACTCCTTCTCTACTAAAAATACAAAAATTAGTCAGGTGTGGTGGTGTGCACCTGTAATCCTAGCTACTTGGGAAGTTGAGGCAGGAGAATTGCTTGAACCCAAGAAGCGGAGGTTGCAGTGAGCTGAGATCTTGGGCGACAGAGTGAGACTTTGTCTCAAAAAAAAAAAAAACAAAACAAAAAACAAAACAAGGCTGGATGTGGTGGCTCATGCCTATAATCCCAGCACTTTGGGAGGCTGAGGTGGGTGGATCAGCTGAGGTCAGGAGTTCAAGACCAGCCTGGCCAACATGGTAAAACTCTGTCTCTATTAAATATATAAAAATTAGCTGGGCGTGGTGGCTCATGTCTGTAATCCCAGGTACTCAGGAGGCTGAGGCATGAGAATTGCTGGAACCCAGGAGGTGGAGGATGCAGTGAGCTTAGATCACACCACTGCACTCCAGCCTGGGCGACAGTAAGACTCGGTCTCAAACAAAATAACAAAAACCCCCCACAAAACAAAACAAAATTCATCCTTCAAAGGTCCAGTCCAATGAAGCCTTCTCTATGAGGACTTTTCTGATCCTTCCCCAAGACTGCTTCCCTCACACACACACATGCACACAGAGAGGAGCCGGATATGCCTTCTGTTTCCTGTGAACTTCAGCACTCCCTTTATTATTGGGTCCAGGTTTAAATATTTCTTTGGTTAGATATGAGTCTCCTGGAGGGCAGGGACCAGATATCTAACTGTATTCTCTGTTGCACCATGCAGCAGGGATTTAGGGATTCTGAGAATTAGCTATAATCAACGTGGGCCAGAGGAGATAAGAACACATGTGCATCACCTCCAGAGCAAACAAACAGAATTCTTTTCTCCTTTAGCTTCCACCCCTGCTGGAGGCAGGTATATGGACATAATAATAAACCCTGCATTACTCAGAGACACTGAGCCAAGTGGATGTCTACAGTTGGTGAAAAGAGCAAAAAGGCGGCTGACACCTGGAAAAACTCACCCAAACCAGCAGTTGCAGGAATCACCCAGTCTCCTGGCTTCAGCCTGGTCACACTGCTGCCCACCGCTACCACCTGGGCAACACCTTCGTTCCCTCCAACAGCAGGCAGTTCGGGAAGGAGGCCGTAGTTTCCTGAGGGAGAAGAGCATGAAAAGGTCAACTAGTGATGTCTGGGCAGTGAAAGAGCATGGACTTGAGTCCAGGCCATCCTATGCCTCATCTGGGATCTGCTTTGGACTGTCTGCATAACCAACCTCTGAGCCTTAGCTTGCTCGTCTGTATAGGGGGACAACATTCTTTGGTGTTCATGGTTATTATGAAGATCAGATAACACACAAAATGAGATCAGCATGTCGCTGGCACTTCACAATGCTTGCTTTACTCCCCACTGCAATCTTCTCAAAAAAGCCTCACATTCCAGAAAAGGGAGGCCAGACAGGGCTGACACAGCCTGCAGACGGCTCATCTGGAGAACAGCTGCAGCTAATCACAGGCATTTCACACCCACACCTGAGGAGGAATGAAAACGAGGTGGCAGCTGAGCAAAAAAGCCAATTAACATAAGCCACAGAAACCAAGGTTACCTTGGATCATATTTATGTCAGATGGATTGATAGGGGCCGCCAGCATCTTCACGAGGACGTCTGATCCTCCCACAGCAGCTAGCTCCAGGTTCTTCAGTCTAAGCACAAAGCCAAAGGGAGATGTTCATGTCACCCAGGCTAGATTGGGCGTTTCGCTCCAATCATCTCCCCAAAGTAGGTCAGGCAAGATTTCTGAGCTGCCATGTGTGCCCAGGAATAACGGTTCTGTTATAAAAGAGAGGTGCCATAAGAAATCAACACAGGAGGCTGGGTATGGTGGCTCACGCCTGTAATCCCAGCACTCTGAGAGGCCGAGACAGGTGGATCTGGGGTCAGGTGCCTGAGACCAGCCTGGCCAACAATGGCGAAACCCCATCTCTACTAAAATACAAAAATTAGCCGGGCATGGTGGTGGGCACCGGTAATCCCAGCTACTCGGGAGGCTGAGGCAGGAGAATCACTTGAATGTGGGAGGCAGAGGTTGTAGTGAGCTGAGTTTACATTACTGCACTCCAGTGTGGGGGACAAAACAAGACTTCATCTCAAAAAAAAAAAAAAAAAAAAAAAATCAACACAGGATACAGGTTGACTCTCATTAACTGAAAGTGGAAATTCACAGTGGTCTTTCAACCCCATGGCCCACTCTGGGACAGGAAACTTCTGCTGGCCTACACGCGCCGTGTTTCCCCAAACTTCCTTGGTTATAAGAGTTACCTGCTGTGTTTATGAATATAAATTATCAGGTCCATCTGATCTACTGAGCCAGAATCTCCAGATGAGGACACCCCAAGTAGTTCTTACCAACAGCAGTATCTGGGAAATCCCAGGCTAGCTGACATATCCTCCACCTGTTTGATTTTATTCTTGGTCCTAACATACATAGGGGAGAGGAAATATTTCTGTTAGTTGCAGAGTGTGGGGGTAATGGAGAGGTGGCCTATGTAGTTCACAAAGAACTCCCTGGGTGGCTGTGATTCACTCTGAGTGATGCCCCTTCTGGAAGAGGATTCTTGTCTTGCAGAAACAACGCTGGGTGGAGGGTTAAGGGTCCAGGGTGTAAAGCTCCACCGTAAGATGCCCGGGTAACAATGGACAAGTTTCTTTTCTGCTCTAGGCCTCTGGTTCTCCATTTGTAAAACAAGTTGGGGTGGTGTTTTGGACTCGATCCCCTCTGGGAGCCTCTTTCATGTTAAGTGTGCTCATGGTGGGCCTTGGACACCAAGCATATTTATCCCACTGAAACTTTGCTTAATGAGTAAAACCTGCAAGAAGGCTTTTGTGGGAGGCCAAGTGACAATGCCCTTCTGTTACTTTTGTCATTTCCAAAAAACTTTTTACAAAAGGAGATCTGGCCGGGCGCGGTGGCTCAAGCCTGTAATCCCAGCACTTTGGGAGGCTGAGGCGGGTGGATCACGAGGTCAAGAGATCGAGACCATCCTGGTCAACATGGTGAAACCCCGTCTCTACTAAAAATACAAAAAATTAGCTGGGCATGGTGGCGCGTGCCTGTAATCCCAGCTACTCAGGAGGCTGCAGCAGGAGAATTGCCTGAAGCCAGGAGGCGGAGGTTGCGGTGAGCCGGGATTGTGCCATTGCACTCCAGCCTGGGTAACAAGAGCGAAACTCTGTCTCAAAAAAAAAAAAAAAAAAAAAAAGGAGATCTGCCAACCAGACAGTGCTGGTCAGTGTACTAGACCCATGGGGCCTTTGACTTTTTATCACCAAAGACTGCTTGCTTTCTTTCTCCACACTCCTAAGATTTCATGTCCCTCTGCCCAAATGCATTTATTAATAATTCATTTTTACTTACCCAAGACACATATAACTGCCAACAAGAGGTTCTTAGCATTAGGCAACAGTATCATCAAACTAAGCTGATGTAATTCTACCTACTTCCTGCAGAAATCCAATCTTTTAATTATACTGGACACTTCATCTTGCAGTAAAAGTGTGATTTTCAATAAATGCTTTGTAATAGCCAGGTGTGGTGGCTCACACCTGTAATCTCAGCATTTTGGGAGGCTGACGCAGGTGGATCATGAGGTTAGGAGGTCGAGACTAGCCTGGCCAACATAGTGAAACCCCATGTCTACTGAAAATACAAAACTTAGCTAGGTGTGGTAGCATGTGCCTTTAGTCCCAGCTGCTCAGGAGGCTGAGGCAGAAGAATCACTTGAACTCAGGAGGTGGAGGCTGCAGTCAGCTGAGATTGTGCCACTGCACTCTAGCCTGGGTGACAGAGTAAGAGTCCATTAAAAAAAAAAAAAAAAAAAGGAAATGTTTTTTACTAAGTAATAATGGAGACAGGTATTTATTATACACCAGGTCTCGTGCTAAGACCTTTAAAAACATGATCTAAGATGCAACACTTCTATGAGGAAAATATTAATATTCCCATGCTATCAAGTAGGAAACAGAGGCTCCTAGGCATTATGAAATTTACACTGGGTAAGGTAACTGCTAAGTGGCAGGGCTTATAATTTCAAAATTGGTGCTCTCGTTAACTTTGCTCTACATCAGCATCCTAAAATTAGTTTGGAAATTCCCTCAACCACCTACAAGAACCCCTGACGATCTGGGGACCCAAACTGGAAATCCCTATACTGGATCATGACCAAAATAAAGGAGGACATGTCTTACCATGACTGAGAAACAGCTGCAAAAAACCAATATATAAACTCTACAGAAAATTGTTAACTAGGAAGGAGTTGATGACCAGGGGCAGAAATAATACAGAAACGGTGTTTATTCAGTGCTTACTAGTCAGCCACACTGCCAGCTTTCCTATTACAATAGCTCTCATACTATTGTTCTGCTTTTACAGCTCATGAACAAAAGCTGTAAGAGGTAAATAACTTGCTCACAACCACTAAAAGTACCAAGTGGCTGACCTGATTTGAACCTGGCAGTATGATCTAGAGAAGCCCTTGGTAAGGGCAGTGAAATGAACACAGGCTGGGACTGGTTACAGTTGCCTTATGGGGAGATGGAGGGAGTGCTGACAGGTGGGCACCACGGCCTTCCTACCAGACTAAGCAAGGAGGCATCAGCCCAGATAGTGATGTTTCACTCTCGACCTGTGTATTAAGTCTGCATTCCAAAGAAAAATCCTGCAGATCACTAGGTCAGGAGTTTGAGACCAGCCTGGCCAACATGGGGGAACCTCATGTCTACCAGAAATACAAAAACTAGCTGGGTGTGCACCTGTAATCCCAGCTACTTGGAAGGCTGAGGCAGGAGAATCTGGAAGGCGGAGGTTGCAGTGAACCGAGATTGTGCCATTGCACTCCAGCCTGGGCGACAAGAGCAAGACTCTGTCTAAAACAAAACAAAAATCCTGCCCAAGCAAGAATTTTGGACTAGCTGTTCTTTATATTATCCACTAGTGCTTCTCTCCTGCATTTTCACAGATAATCAGAGTTTTTCGACAAAGTTCATGTGCTCAAGCTGTTTAAAGATATTTTTTTCTGCACATTTTCCATACAGTTTTCTTACAGCCCAGAATGTCTTTTCCACAGCTTCTCTATGAAGCGAGGAATTCAACTCATCCTTCAAGGCCCAGTTCAAAGTTTACTTCCCTTAAGATATCTTTCGACCCTCATCCAGTCCAGAAAAAAAAAAAAAAAATCACTTGCTTGGTGCTCCCATTGTATGGAATTACATAACATGTTATTTAAGACTATCTCACGGTTTACTAATTTTTAGTTTGTGAAGTCTTTTCATATATTTTTGTCAATTGATCGGGGCAAGACAGAGATTCACAATCCCTTTTCAAAACTCTTGGAGTCACGTATTATCTACACTCCCAGTGGGGGCCGTTGCAGCACCCTGGGATCAGACACATGAATGTTTCTGCAGGAAAATGTAGAAACACTCACGCTAAGTCAGATGAATAAAGACCACATGAAAATCTCATGTTAGATCAGGTTTCCTTCACATGAGTTACAGAAAAAAAACTGGCCAGGCACAGTGGCTCATGCCTGTAATCCTGGCACTTTGGGAGACTGAGTTGGGTGGATCAGAAGGTCAAGATCGAGACCACACCCTGGCCAACATAGTGAAACCCCATCTCTACTAAAAATACAAAACTTAGCTGGGTGTGGTGGTGCATGCCTGTAATTCCAGCTACTCGGGAGGCTGAGGCAGGAGAATCGCTTGAACCTGGGAGGTAGAGGTTGCAGTGAGCCAAGATTGCACCATGCACTCCAGCCTGGTGACAGAGCAAGACTCCGTCTCAAAAAACAAAACAAAACAAAACAAAAAACTGTCAGCTTCCAGAATTTTGGAACTGCAGATACAAATTTAGATTTGGATTCAGGTCTTTCAGACTCTGAGTTTGGAGCTGTTTTTACGAATCAATTAGTTTTGTAGTCAGAATGTGTGTGTGTATATGCTGTCTCCTTGTTAGACTGTGAGCTCCTAGAGGGCAGAGAACTATTAGTCTTAACTCACTGTTGAGCACATGTCTGGGATCAAACTCTTCTCTCTAGTGAGAAAATGTGGCGTAAGGGCCAGTCATGGCCGGGCATGGTGGCTCACGCCTGTAATCCCAGCACTTCGGGAGGCCAAGGCATGTGGATCACCTGAGGTCAGGAGTTAAAAACCAGCCTGGCCAACATGGTGAAACCGTGTCTCTATTAAAAAAAACATAAAAATCAGCTGGGTGTGGTGGTGTGCACCTGCAGTCCCAGCTACTTGGGAGGCTGAGGCAGCCATGAGACCCTGGCTCAGGAAAAAAGAATTGCTTGAACATGAAAGGCAGAGGTTGCAGTAAGCTGAGATCAGACCACTGTACTCCAGCCTGGGCGGGGGAAAAAAAAGTGCCAGTCATTTAGGAAATCAGGGGCAGGGCCCAAGCCAAAGGAACTTAGCTATTTGTATTTGCCCATCCTGGTTCTAGGCTGTTTAGGAAAATACCCATGAAAGATGGGCTCAAATAGAAATGGAGTTTATCCTTAAGAGAATTCAGTCTAGGCATACACTACACATCAAATGTGCATTGGGACTGTACTTCTTAAAAACCTAGATGACCGTGGTCAAGATGAGAATACAGGTAGATCTCAGTTCGTAAATGATGGGGAGAGCACGAATCTGGAGTGAAGCAGGCAGCCCTGGGTTTGAATCAGACCTTGGTTATCTATCAGTTAGATAAACCTCAGAATATTCCTCTGTAAAATGGGATAACACAAGAACCCAGTTCATAGGATTCAATGAGTTAATGTATGTAAAGCATTTACAGTAGTACCTACACAGTAGATGCTGAGAAAACGACAGCGGTTATCAGCTGTAGAAACATCCAAGGAAACTTTTGAAACAGTTCCCTGGTTATATCTCTGAGAACAGTCACTGAGTCATTGAAAGGAAGACGGCACCTTTTTGGAAAATTCAAGTAAACGTAATTCAACAAATATTTATTGACAGTCGAAGTGTGAGATACTGTGCCAAGGGGTTTCACGACGAATAAAGGTGGGCATGGTAGCATGCACCCGCGGTCGCAGCTACTTGGGAGGCTGAGGAAAAAGGGTTGCTTGTGCTCAGGAGTTCAAGGCTACAGTGTACCATCAGCACACCTGTGAATGACCACTGCGCTCTAGCCTGGGCAACAGGAGACCCTGGCTCAGGAAAAAAAAAAAAAAATCCCCTTCCCAGGGCCTTGATGGACTGGGAACCCAGCAGTGGAAACACTGGGAGAAGAGCTGTAACAGAGGGAGGCTCGTGGTGCTAAAGTTGGCTGCCAGTGTCGAGCCTGGTGGGAGGAAGAAAATAGATTCGAAAAGGGTCTTTGGAAGAAATGATAACGTGGTTTGGTTTGAAGGATAAACAGGCATTTACAGGGTGGAATGAGAAGACAAAAGGTTTTCCTGCCGGAGGGAATGACCAAGAATCTGACCCGAGAGTAGGCCAGGCAACAGGTATGGTCTGTGTAAGAGCCAGGAGAACGGAGAGGAGGACTGGATAACATAAAATCTCTTAAATAAGCGACACTGATGTCACTTGGTGACCAATTCCATGTGGCGGGAGGGAAGGGAAGTCTTTGATGGCTCCAAGACCTTTGGCTTAGACAACTGACTGCTGAGCTAGGGAGGAAGGAAGAGTAGATTTGGAGAGGGGACACAGGTGACCTGCAGTATGCATACAGAACAGAGAGGGCTTAGGCTAGACATACAGAACTGTGAGTCGGCTGTATGGGAGGAGTCTAGGAGAGTCGAAAAACTTATTCTGGGCGATTTCACTGAACAGTGAAATGACAACTTATGTCGATGGCTTACTGGGCTCCAAGTATGCTTACCATTTTACATACACGATGCCGTTCAGTTCTCAAAATGCCTATGTGGAGGGTGGTATCACCCCAATTTGAAGGAGAGGAAACTGAGGCTCAGAGAAATAACTGGCTCAAGTGTTAAGTGGCAGGTCTTGATCTTAAGCTAGACTCCAAAATGCAGGCTGTTCAATACTATGCCAGCATTCACTATACTGTGTGTGCTGATTTTTTTCTTGGAGATACTGTTAGGTATTTCCTGGGATCCAATGTGTTTAGGAAATGCTGCTTACTACGCCCCTCTTTCAAGATTCTGACTATATGTCACTCAAAAGGCCCTGAGGAGCCCCTGAGTAAAGAAACCCTTGTAGCCTGTGCCATCCAGAGTGTTCCAGATTTAACGCGGGCTGGGAGCACTACAGTATTTTCACGGCACAGCCTGCCTCAAACAGCAGTTTGAGAAACGATGCTCTGGGCCCCCGTCCTCCTCTTTGTCTTCTGGGGAGAACACAAATATCAGCTCTGCATTTGAGATGCACAGAAGTGGGAGGGAAGGAGAGTCAAGAGGGCCAAGCAGGGATGAGGGTCTAGGCGATGGGAAATTACACTGAAGCTGCGAACACAGGTGGATGGGGGCGGGGCAGGCCCCACACTTGCTGCAAGCCTGGGAGTTAGGGGGGTTCAGGTGCCTCTCACCAGGGAGGCCAGCCTCGGCCTGCCCCAGGGAATGCCATCAATACCACAGACACTGCTGTTCCCGCAGACAGTGCTAACCACGTCGTCAAGGATACCGTTCTGCTGAGACAGGAGGGAAAACAGGGACCAAGCCTGAATTCCAAGAGTTAAACCTCTAGTGTAACGATAGCAATTTCTTCCCTGTTCTTTAAAAGAAAAAGACTCGCCAAAGGAAACAGTGGCCATGTTTCAGAGTACAAATGAGGCACCCAACCCAGCCTGGCTAGATCTCAAATTGCTTGCCCCATACCGTTCGCGTCCTGCCTCTGTGAGTGTAATGGCGCCATGCAACTTGGGGGGATGCCGCTGTCCTCAATGGACAGATCTCAGCCTGGATAAGGTCACAATGGCTCCTTTGAGGCCAAGGCCGTACACCTGTGATGCCACAGGAAGTACAAGGGAGACGAAAGCAGGCAGAAGAAAGAGCCTTTTGAGAGGGGAGAAAAGAGGCCAGTGCCCTGGGGACTGGCACAGTTACACTTGCTGGGTAAGGTGGGCATTAGCTAGCTCTGCGAAGACATCTTTCCTGCGCCCCACATTTAATTAGCAATCATTTGTACTTATCTTTCATCTTCTACTCAAGTACATCAAATGGTCAATATCATTTTGAGCAGGAAGAACAGGTAGGGAGAGATTGTCGCTGGCCAGAGACTTTCTCAGCTACTTAGCAGAGAAGCAAGAATGTTTGTGTCATCACAGGGCACTGAGTGAAGGTAACCAATACCTCATGTGGTGCTCCCCCGTCTGTCTGCAGTCCCCCTGGTCACCAGCAAGCTGCCTTCTGTGATTCAGCGAAATGCCTGGTGTGCTAGGTACACTGTTCTAGGATTTGAGTAATAATTAATAAGCAGGCCACAACTGGGAAATTGTGAGGGAATGAAGTTCCTCAGCTTACAGCTTGTAAGGGCCTGGCTCCCAGGGAACTAAGTAAGGGAGTCCTGGGCTTCCAGGGAGAGTTCCTTACCCTGAGCAAAGCTCCTTGGTTGCAGGTGGCTTGGTGTGCTGGACACAACCACACCCTCCCTGCGTCTCTTCCGGCTTCCAGGACTCCCACCGTTCAGGACTCATCTTTCGGCTCTTTAGCACAGTCATTCTGAACGCAAGAAATCAGAGGCTTAGGGTAACTTCTGGAAGTTTCTATCCAGTTGGCAAAGAAACCTTCTCCCAACCTTCTCAATTCCCTACTTTCCCTCAAATCAGAGAGCCAAAAAGTTTGCGGGCCCCATGATATTCTGCATCTGCTGACGACAGGGAAACTCCACTACAAGCACGGTCTGTCACTCAGCTTGCTGACGGCCAGCTCTTGGGGGCACAGTCCCTGCCTGCAGCTGCTTGGATTTCTTTGACCGGTCAAAACACAACTGTGCAGCTCTTGTCTGGCTGGAGGCTGGGAGGGCTATTGATTGTGTAACCAACCAAGGGCCAAGGGGGTCCTTGGTGAAATCAAGGATCCCAGATTTCAAGCCAAACCGTTGCTCCCCGGAGGCTGCTGGAGCAACCAGTGGCGAGCAGGCCGTCGATGCCTGCGTCACTTTCATAGAATTGTCAGAGCCGGACAACTGCTGGAACAAAGAGGATTCAAGTCTCATGATAATTACCATGGCCCCAGTGTCATGCTGAGAAGGACGCTGAGGCTCCGTCTTGTCTTGGCAGGAAGTGTCGTCTGGGCGAATGGGATACACAGGAGTGCAGGTTTTGAGGTCAATGGAAAGGGACTGTGAAGGCCTGCATGTGGCACAGGGGAGGGGACAGCATCCATGTCCGTATCTACCGCTGCTGACCTTCATTTTATCAAAGAGTACCTGAAGATAGCTAGAGACCGGTGTGATTTCCTTACTGCCGTAATCAGTGGCAGAGGTGGGACTGGAACACAGGCCAGAAACATCCCGAGCCACAGGTTCAGCTTGTGTCATCTTTGCTTTCCTTCTCTAAAATGAGGACCCCTCCCACCTCACCGAGGGTGAGAAAGGCCAGTTCATCCCACAGAGCCGCTAGGAGAGGGCAAGAAACAACTTGGAGCGGCACAGAGGGGTAGCTTTCCTTCCAGACTCTCTGGACGGACGGGAAAACCCCAGTTCTTTGTGCAATTCCTAGGGGATGTGCCTGCAGCTTTTACCTTCAGAGGCGACGAGAAAACCAGGGTAGCAGGGCTTGGCCCTAAACTGCACAGCCTAGTCTGAAGGCCAGATGGAAGGTATTGCACGAGTTATAGGACGTGGAATCTGCTTAGGCTTGAGCCCTGTGGTCTCAGGGTAGTCCCCTCTGAGTTGGTTTCAGCAGACACCTTTCTTACAGGATTACACATGAGTGCGCCGTAGGCAGTCAACAAACACGGACTGACCAGACACACCACGTTTTCTCTTCTCTCTGGGTCTCTGCACAGGCAGGTTCCTCTGCTTGGGACATTTCTCCACTTTCTGCCCTCATATACTGCTCACTGGATCTCTGGGGCACTCACTTTACACCGTGTCTTCAGAGAGCATCTCTGACTACCCCAAGGGGGTTAGGTACCCAACTTCTGGGTGTCCACAGCACTCTGAACATAACCCATCACACCATTTACCCCACTAGGCTATGGTGGCCCTTCTCTTAGACTAGGCTGTGAGGCTCTGAGAGCAACGACCACATCAGATTCATCTCTGCACCCTCAGTGCCTTGCACTCAGTCAACCCTCAGAGAATACATGCTGGCCAACTTGCAGTATCAACGCCTTCTGTTCCCACTCCATTTGTGACCGCAATAAAGAGCTCTAAACACAGCACCAAACCCAAAATGCTATTTTGTTACCAAAGTACTAAAATTCGGGTTTAAAAATCAAGTTGCCTGCAGAGTTTTGCTTTATATCAACTGTAAAAAGAAGAAATTCCTGAGAGTAAACAGTGCCCTATAGTGAGAATCACAGCCTGGGGCCCCACCACCTGTCCCTCCAAAGTCCATCTGGCTTAAGACAGAATGGGGAGGCCAGGTGTAGGGGCTCACACGTGTAATTCCAGCACTTTGAGAGGCCAAGGTGGGCAGATCACCTGAGGTCAGGAGTTCAAGACCAGCCTGGCCAATATAGTAAAACCCCGTGTCTACTAAAAATACAAAAATTAGCCAGGTGTGGCGGCACAGGCCTGTAATCCCAGCTACTCGGGAGGCTGAGGCAGGAGAATCGCTTGAACCTGGGAGGCAGAGGTTGCAGTAAGCCAAGATCATGCCACTGCACTCCAGCCTGGGGGATACAGCCAGACTCTGTCTCAAAAAAAAAAAAAAAAAAAAAAAAAAAAATGCAGAGTGGGTCTAGATCCACGGGTTTTCCAGCTTAGTTTTATTTCATTTTTGTACTAGCAGCAGGCAGTTGAGAAAGCCAAGATGATCAGGATGCTGGTTTACAAAAGCCTCAGGATCCTGAAAAGGGGAGGAGAGAGAGAAGAGTATTTCTAATTTTTCACAGGGTTGGGGCTGCCCTTTCTATGCATAGAAACGTGGGAATGCCTGAACGACCTACAATTTCACCTTCTCTTCTAACCTATTTTTTTCCCAACTTTACAGTCCACCTCATTCTCAAAACTCTTTTGAGACTTTGGGAGGTTGAGGCAAGAGGATCACTTGAGCTCAGGGGTTTGAGATCATTTTGGGCAACATGGTGAAACCTCATCTCTATTTTTTATTTAAAATACTTAAAAAAGTTTATTAAAAAAAAGTCATTCTCTTGGGGTGATCAGCCAGATAAAAGAAAAAAAAAGAAAAGTCATTCGAGGTGACCACCATTGTTTCCGCAGGCCTACATCTATATATATTAGGAGCATTTAGCCCAATGCTTGCTATACAGCAGGTATACAATAAATGAAAGCTGTTCTCACCAGAAGATCCAGAGAATGGCCAAGTTCTAAGGGAACGTTCAGGAAAAAAAGAGGGCAAGAGAAGAACTAAGGGTTTCTGGGAACTATCTTTTTTTTTGAGATGGCGTCTCACTTTGTTGCCCAGGCTGGAGTGCAGTGGTGCCATCTTGGCTCACTGCAACCTCTGCCTCCCAGGTTCCAGTGGTTCTCCTGACTCAGTTTTCCGAGTAGCTGGGATTACAGGCACCTGCCACCATGTCTGGCTAATTTTTGTGTTTTTAGTAGAGACGGGTTTTGCCATGTTTGCCAGGCTGGTCTCCAATTCCTGACCTCAGGTGATCCGCCTGCCTTGGCCTCTCAACGTGCTGGGATTACAGGGGGCCATCGTGCCTGGCCCGTGGGTTTCTGGGAACTTATCTGATAGGGAATCTTGCAAGGGACAGTGGCAATGGAGAACTCTCAAATTTCTTGAATGTGTGCATTCTTCTGCACAGTCTTACTTTACTTAGATCTGCAGTTCAAACTTTAAAATAAAAAAGCCCCAAATACTATTTAGGGGATCCCATTTTGGAAGAAAGGGAAAGAAACTAAAGACAGGGAAAAATTGCTTAGGAGAGAACAGCTGCAATATTGAGGGGCCAACAGGAGTGAACACAGGGATGTGAGAACAGGAGAAACCTGGATGCCTCCTTTTGAGGAATTCGCAGCCTTCGGACCTGAGCAGGCTGTTCCTCGCTCCCTCCCTCCTGCTCACAGAGGTTTGGCCCACAGCGCAATCATCACAAACCACAGCAGTTCTGAGAATGCTCTGCTCAGACTCTAGGTAGTCCCATGACCCCTACCTCGTGTAACCTGACCCAGACACCCAGTTACCAGGATGTATAAAGGACACCTGATTCTTTCCGTGACAGTGTGGTTACCCTAAACCTCCTAAGACATGACTACAAAGAGAATCCCAGTCTCTGGCTTCAGTCCATATGAGAACAAGTAAAGCCGCCTGAATCTGGGTCAGAAAGGAAAGTCGCCCTTCTGGAGCACGTGGAGAATTACTGCTTGTCTGACAGTCTATAACCATAGGGTAGTAGTTCTCAAGCCTGGCCTGGGCAGCACAGTCACCTGGAGAGCTTTAAAAAAATAGATGCTCCAAGCCATCCCAGACCTACTAAGTACCTTAGGAGTGGGGCCTAGGAATAGGTACAGTAGTTTCTAATAGCACTATAGGTCAAGCTAGGTGTGGCGGTACACACCTGCAATCCCAGCTACTCAGGAGACCAAGGCGGGAGGATCCCTTGAGCCCAGGAGCTCAAGACCAGCCTCGGCAATGTGGCATGATCTCATCTCTAAATAAATAAATAAATAAAAACTGTCTGGGCCGGGTGCGGTGACTCAAGTCTGTAATCCCAGCACTTTGGGAGGCCGAGGCGGGTGGATCAAGAGGTCAAGAGATCGAGACCATCCTGGTCAACATGTGAAACCCCGTCTCTATAAAAAATACAAAAATTAGCTGGGCATGGTGGCGTGTGCCTGTAATCCCAGCTGCTCAGGAGGCTGAGGCAGGAGAATTGCCTGGACCCAGGAGGCGGAGGTTGCAGTGAGCTGAGATCGTGCCATTGCACTCCAGCCTGGGTAACAAGAGCGAAACTCCGTCTCAAAACAAAAAACAAAAAACAAAAAAAAACTGTCTGATAGTTCATGTGGGCAAATTAAAAAATAAATAAATAAAAGCACTACAGATGGTGTGCTGTGAAGCCAGAGTTGAATATAATGCTTTGTGGAAGTATCTTTTTTCGTTTGAGAGGAAGTCTTGTTCTGTCATCCAGGCTGGAGTTCAACGGCTCACTGCAACCTCCACTTCCCGGTTCAAGCAATTCTCCTGTCTCAGCCTCCTGAGTAGCTGGGACTATAGGCATGTACCACCATATCTAGTTAATTTTTGTATTTTTATAGAGACAGGGTTTCACCATGATCTGCCCACATAGGCCTCCCATAGTGCTGGGATTACAGGCGTGAGCCACCACGCCTGGCTGGAAGTATCTTGTTTTGAGCTAAAGGGAAATTACTTAAGTTCCACAGAAGGAAATAATAGAAGCTGCCTTTTTTTTTTTTTTTTTTTTTTTTTTTCCCCTAAGTGGTACCTGCAAACAGACCAGGCTGTTCCAGCTTTCTCTGGCTCTCCAAGAGGGAATCAATTAGGAGGCAACTGCATTCAGCTGCTGAACTTTTCCAGCCCTCCCTCATCATCACAGTAGAACTTAATAAAACGTGCACTTTTTCCTGACATTTAGATTTAGATTGAACTAACATTTTAGGAGCACCTGTTTTGTGGCAGGTCCTGCAGCAAACGCAAACTACAAGACCGTGGGAGAGGCACTACATGGTTCTCACGTAGGGTACCTTCCTGGAAATGGAGACGTGTTCATCAGAGCTGTATCAGTTCCTTCCAATACAGTCCTCAGTGAGATTCTTCCCTGACACAATGCTTTATTACCTACAATCAACACATAATTTGGAGTTTACTGACCGATGTGTCTTCTTGACATTCTTTTCAATTTCTGAAATGCTGGATGTGGCTGGGCTGATTGCACAACCTTGAATTTATCTGAGGCATATCCTCACCTCCTGTCAAAACATATAGACTGAAGTTTTTTTTTTTTTTTTTTTTTTTGAGATAGAGTCTTGCTCTGTAGCCCAGGCTAGAGTGCAGCGGCGTGATCTTGGCTCACTGCAACCTCCGTGTTCCGGATTCAAGTGATTCTCCTGCCTCAGCCTCCTGAGTAGCTAGAATTACAGGCGCCCACCACCAGGCTGTCTAATTTTTTTTGTATTTTTAGTAGAGACGTGGTTCCCCAACACTGGCCAGGCTGGTCTAGAACTCGTGACCTCAGGTTATCCACCCGCCTCGGCCTCCCAAAGTACTGGGATTATAGGCGTGAGCCACTGTGCCCAGCCGTAGACTGAATTTTAACCATTAAAGTAATACCACATTTGCTTACCCTTTGGAAAACGATCAGACTAGTTGCTGGGAATCACAGAGTTAAAAAGAAGGTATTGTAGGAGAGTCTGCAGGTGTTTTTTGGTGGAGAGCACTACACCCATCTTAGCTGATTACCACTATGAACTTCGTCTGTACTGTCTCCATTTTTAAAGATGATGAAACGGAGGCTCAGACAACCTCAGTAACTTGCCAAATGGAAAGCCCTAGCCCTAGGACAAGTTAAGGCAAGGATTTGATTCCAAGTATTTTGATTCCCAGACCTGTGCTTTTGCCTTAGCTCCACTTTAGCAGCCCCGATGGCCCTACTGAATGCCTATTTATGTGCAAATTTATAATGGTTGGCAACTGACATACTGTTTTTATCAACCACATGCAAAAAGCATGAATTAAGATCAAACAGAATTTTAGGAGGAGGACAAAGTCATAAAGGTAACAAGAGGTTGAGTGACTTCTCTAAGACCAAACAGCTACTAAGAGGTTGCGCCTATATTTGACCAAATATAGATACTTGGGGTCTATATGGCACCAAAGCAGCTCTCTCTCTTTTTTTTTTTTTTTGGTAATGGAGTTTTCGCTCGTTACCCAGGCTGGAGTGCAGTGGCGCGATCTCGGCTCACCACAACCTCCGCCTCCTGGGTTCAGGCAATTCTCCTGCCTCAGCCTCCTGAGTAGCTGGGATTACAGGCATGCACCACCATGCCCGGCTAATTTTTTGTATTTTTACTAGAGACGGGGTTTCACCATGTTCACCAGGATGGTCTCGATCTCTTGACCCCGTGATCCACCCGCCTCGGCCTCCCAAAGTGCTGGGATTACAGACGTGAGCCACCGCGCCCGGCCCCAAAGCAGCTCTTTTTAACTAAGCCAAGATGCATGCATATACGGTGCAATGGAGAGGAACTCACATGAGGTTAGAGTCAGAAGCCATGGATTCCAGTCCCTGTTCCAATCACTTATTAGCGATATCACTCTGGGCAAGTCCCTTGCCCTCTGGAAACAATGATCTATGACCTACTCTTTACTGACAAGTGAAGATCCAAATGAATGCAAAAGTATTCTGAAAAATTCCTTAAAAAAAATAAGAGAGTAAGAGCTCAGGCAGGTCAGTCAGACATAGGTTTAAATTCTGACTGTCGCTTACTGGCTGTGTGACCTTGGACGAGTGATTTTACCTCCTATGCCTGTTTTCTCATCTGCAAAACGGGGATAAATCAAGTAAATACGTTAAAACATTGTTGTGACAATTAAATGACAGCATCCATTTAAACATGGGATTGCCTGACACAATAGTCGATCAATAAACATCAGCCATTAATATCCTAATAATTGTGCCTCTCGGTCTTCAACTACCTTCAAGTACGGTCTTTCTGAGCTACCCAAAGCGCTCTGGGCTTCAGTTTCAGTCTTGCTAGTCTCTGCCCCATTTCTCGGACCCTGTCCCTCTCTTCCCAGTCCACATCTCGTCTTAAAGCCCTCTAGAAACCCCAGTCCCCTTCCCCGGTTTCGGCGCCGTCTCTTACTCGACGACCTTGGCTGGATCCCCGTGGTGCCCATAGACAAGCGCCGGGACCCGGGCAGGCTCGGCGGATGCGGAATAGTAGGAGGCGGCAGGTCCGTGACAGCCAGAAGCAGGGAGCAGCCTCCGCCACAGCCGGCCGGGGGTTCGCACCCGCCACAGCGTGCTGCAGACCCACATGCTCCCTCCAACCAACACAGAACCTGACGCCCCCGGCTACGTCATCTTCCAGCGACCACGCGCCTGCGCCCCGCCCCGCCCCGCCGCGTGACCACTCCCTCACGCTCCCTGTGAAGGGCGTTTCCTTCCTCCGCTGCCCACGTGGTGGCGCCTGGCTAAACGGTTTGTGGGTCCCGAAGGGACCAGAGGGAGATGCGGGGTTTGCGAGGCCGCCAAAGCGGCTCTCTCAACAGGAAGAGTCTGGGGCTGGTCCAAAGCTGTGTCTACAGCCTGCAATTTGGTGTTTGATTGGGAGGAAATCATTTACTCTCCTGGCCTTAGTTTACCCTTCACATAATTTATTGAGTGCTCACGGAGACAGGCTCTTTAAGGTATGATCTCACTTAATCTCCACTACCATGTAACGGCATAGGGAGGCAAAGTTTACTTCCCTACGCTGAGGAGAGCACACGAAAATTGCTATCGAGGCAGGAGTACGGGGCTTGGAGTTAGAAAACTTAGGTTCAAATCCTAGCCCTGCCACTTCCTAGCTTAGCCGCCGTGGGCAAGTGAAACTCTGAATTTGTTTTCTCATCGGTAAATGGGGATAATATGCCTCCTTCTAGATTGTTGTGAGGATTGAAATAATAGAGGAATGTTATTGTGGGCGGGAGAATGCATTGAAAAAAACGCTGCATTCAGATAAAAGGCAGGAATCACGAGAAGGCCCCCGCATTTCACTGGAAATGCTTGTAAAAAGGTGTAGCCCCATGAAGAATCTGGTCTTATATTTGATGTAGGGAAGACGTGAACATTACGAAAACCCCAGATAAGCTGTGGCTCGTGCCAGCGTGCAATCCTGTAGTCTGAAGAGAGGTGCTCTGGGATAGGGGTGGGAGCAGGGCTCTTGGAGGAGGTGCTGTTGGAGCCAGCCCTGTGATTCAAAGTCTTCTGTGTGCATAAAAATAATCCGAGGTCCCATCTTAGACCTACTGAATTAGAATCTTGCCGATGGGGGTTCCAGGAATCTACATCCTTACAAGCTCCCAAGAATATTCTGATGCAGGTGTCCCAGGAAACAGGTTTTAAGATACTGAGCCAGGGCTTTGAAGGATAAGGAAGAGTTCCTTTCTCTGGATTTTATTGACTTGAAGCTTGGCATCTCAGAGCCTTTCCCCTGAGGAAGAGAGCACAGCAAAGTGAGCTTTGACTTGGGCTAGACTCAAGCAAACCTGGCTTTGTGTTCTACCTCTGCCATTTTCCAGCCGTTTGATTTCGGACAAGTCACCAGGCCTCTCAGTGTCTTCATTTCCTTGTTCTTAAAATGGAAGGAATGCCAGTTATGTGTTTCAAGGTTGTCGTGAGGGTCAAGTGAGATGTTATCCACTTGAAGCATTTAGTACAATGATTGGCACATGGAAGCATTTGATAAATATTATCGGGGGTTATTGTGATTAAATGAGAAATATCACACGTAAAACCCTCAAACTGGGGTCTGGCTCATAGTATGTGCTCAATAAATGTTTGTATTTGTTTTCATTATTAGACAAAGTTGGTGTCCCATGGTGGGGGAAAGGCTTGGCCCCACATTTATGTGCGAGCACACACATGATGACCAGTCCTGCTTACACTTTTCCTCAGCAACACGTAGGCCTACTTGAGCTGGGAAGTACAACATAACCCTCTGTTGTAAAACTCCCTAGGTGACATTGAGATGTCGACATTCTCTTCTTCACCAAATTGGCCCCCCTGAATTTTTGGGAAGCCCATTCAGAAAGCCCAAAATGCTCTTCCCTGCCTCGGAAACTCCAAGTTCAGATGTCACTTCTTTGATGTTTCCCAACTCCCTAGGTCATCTTGTATTTTCCCTGGACCTGTGTTATGGCCTTTAGTACATCGTCTCTTATTTATTCCCCCTCCAGGCAAGAGTGGAGCCAGGTTTGATTTATCTCCATGACAGCAGCACCCAATATGGGCCTGGCATAGTGTAGGTGTCATAAATATTCCATGAGTTGCAGGTAATTGAATTTCTTCATGGCCTGGAACTGTCTGTGGTGCCATCTCCTTTTCCCTAGATTTGGGAAGGTCGCTCCAGGCCAGGACTTTCCTTCCTCCTCCTTCTCTCAAGAATTATCGAAGTTCGCCGGGCGCGGTGGGTCAAGCCTGTAATCCCAGCACTTTGGGAGGCCGAGGCGGGTGGATCACGAGGTCGAGAGATCGAGACCATCCTGGTCAACATGGTGAAACCCCGTCTCTACTAAAAATACAAAAAAATTAGCTGGGCATGGTGGTGTGTGCCTGTAATCCCAGCTACTCAGGAGGCTGAGGCAGGAGAATTGCCTGAACCCAGGAGGCGGAGGTTGCGGTGAGCCGAGATCGTGCCATTGCACTCCAGCCTGGGTAACAAGAGCGAAACTCTGTCTCAAAAAAAAAAAAAAAAAAAAAAAAAAAAAAAAAAGAATTATCGAAGTTCGTGGTCTTTTTAAAGTAAAGCAGAATGTCCTCTTCTCATCTGTCCACCTGTTGCTTGCGTTCTCTTTCTCCCTCCGTTCTAGTCTCTGCTGTCTTCCCATGCGTGAAGAGCAAAGGAATGTGGAATCAGTCAGATCTGGGTTCAAGTCCGGGGTCCACCCTCCCTTTACTAGCTGTGTGACCTTGGGCAAGTGTCCTATGCTCTCTGAACCTCAGTTTCCACACGTGTAAAATGGGATCAACGGTAAAACTCCTGTTATGAGGCTCCTGCAAGAGCCCTCTGCAAACAGCACCCTTGGTGGCTTCTTCTGTTCACTGGTTTTCTCTCCTTCAGTTTCCTTTTCTGGGTGGGCCTCACTGGCTCCTCTCTGCTCCAGCATCTATCCTAGTTTCTTCTCTAAGGTTTCCCCTTGGTTTATTCTTGCTTCTGCCTCCCTCCCCCTGTTCAATTCTCTGTGTCTAATTCTTGCCTGCTCTGTGTCTTTTGGTCCCTTGCCCAACTCAGCGTGGAGCTCATCAGCACTCACAAGAGAGGAGACTAAGAGCCCAAGAACTCTCAGCTCAGCTCTACCTCCTCCAGCCCCAGGGCCGCTTCAAGGTGTGCCAGTCTCAGTGTGAAGCCAGCTGGGAGTGGAGGCAGGGCACAGGGAGGGCCTACATACTCATTGAACTCCTACGCTCTGCTCAGTGTCACTGCCCAGTGGTCAGACCCATCTGCCCATAGCTTTCCTTACTTCAGCAGTTTATTCTCTAGGAAACTGGTTGGGGCTTTAAAAAAAAAACAAAAACCCAGAGATCAGAACTTATTACTTTTTTTTTTTTTTTTTTTTTTTTTGAGATGGAGTCTCACTCTGTTGCCCAGGCTAGAGCACAGTGGTGCAATCTTGGCTCACTGCAATCTCTGCCTCTCAGGTTCAAGAGGTTCTCTTGCCTCAGCCTCCTGAGTAGCTGGGATTACGGGCACGTGCGACCACGCCCAGCAAATTTTTGTATTTTTAGTAGAGATGGGGTTTCACCATGTTGGTCAAGCTGGTCTCGAACTCCTGACTTTGTGATCCACCCGCCTTGGCTTCCCAAAGTGCTGGGATTGCAGGCGTGAGCCACCGCACCCGGCCCAGAACTTATTACTCCTTATTACTCCTCTGCTTAATGACTCTACTTCAGTGGGCTCACATTACTCTCAGAGTTGAATCTCAGGCCCCTTCCTTGCTCATAGTTTTTGGCCTGATCTACAGACTCTGCCAACTTGTCCAGCTATATCTGGCTCCCTTCTGCCCCCGACTCACTCCATGCCAGCTGCCCTGACTTCCTTGCAGCTGCTTGTACCCACCAGCTCCTGCCTTTGCACAGGCTGTCCCCTCTGACTGCAACGTTCCTCCCCACTGATTTGCATGAGGTTGGCTTCTTTTCATGCTTCTGGTCTCAGTTCAGATGTCACCACATCACTTCTTCAACAAAGCCCTCTTGGACCACCTTATCTAAAGGAGATGCCCCTTCTCCAGCTTCTTTATCATGCTCCCTCATTTCCTTTGGTGGGCATATCTTAGACGGTAATGATATATTTATGTACATGTTTGCTGTTGAGCTTTCCCGCTAGAATGTAAGCTTCATGAAGGCTAGGAACATTTCCCTTTCATTCATTCATCCATTCAATGTTTATTGAGCATGAATTACATGCTCATGCCTGGTGGTTCATGCCTGTAATCCCAGCACTTTGGGATGCTGAGGCAGGTGGATCACCTGAGGTCAGGAGTTCGAGACTAGCCTGACCAACATGGTGAAACCCCATCTCTACTAAAAATACAAAGATTGGTCAGGCGTGGTGGTGTGTGCCTGTAGTCCCAGCTACTCGGGAGGCTGAGGCAGGAGAATCGTGTGAACCCGGGAGGTGGAGGCAGTTAACCAAGATCGTGCCACTACACTCTAGCCTGGTGAAAGAGCAAGACTCAATCTAAAAAAAAAAAAAAAAAAAAAAAAAAAAAAAAATCTTTGTGAAGCCTAGAATCATTTCTCTTTCATTCATTTGTCCATTCAATATTGATTGAGCCTCAATTACTTACCAGTGACTGGACGAGGTGGCACACACCTATAATTCCAGGACTTTGGGAGGCTGAGGAGGGCAGATCACCTGAGGTCAGGAGTTTGAGACCAGTCTGGCTAACATGGTGAAAATATTAAAAATACAAAAATTAGCCAGGCGTGGTGGAGGGTGCCTGTAATCCCAGCTACTTGGGAGGCTGAGGCAAGAGAATTGTTTGAATTCGGGAGGCAGAGTTTGCAGTCAGCCAACACCACGCCATGGCACTCCAGCCTGGGCAACAAGAGTGAGTTGTTGAATAAATGAATAGATCCCAATAAATATTTGTTGAAGGAATAGGTGTCCGGATGGGAGGCAGGTCTCAGTCCCTATTCAATTCAAACCAAACAACCTTGTTTCAGACCTTGGTGCTGTTAAATACTGTTGCATAACAGTATTTATGCGATATGATTGTTGCAGACCTAATATGTGATGATGAAATAAGTCCATGTGGGTAAAACACACAGAGGGTACCTGATCTTACATAGTAATGAGCAACAAGTTTGCAGATCATAGTGA